TGGAAGATTGTAGGTGTTAGGGTTAACCGTCTTAGCCTTAACTCCTATAGGCGTTCGGATTGCCATTCCGCATAAAGTGGTCGCGGAGATATCGGGCCTCACGTGCTGTTTCTTCCGGGTTACCGCCGTGAGTCTGGATTCTTTGAACAGTGTTCTCATGCAGCTTCGTTTGTGAGCCAACGCAGTAAGGGCGACATGTTTTCCCGAATCGATTCAGCTCGTCAAGTTTTCGCTAAGCTTAGAATAAACCTAAGGGCCCGGACGTGGCCCCTTAATCGCCAAGATTTTCGTGTACCGTGCGGTCTGCCCTTCCCTATGACTATGAATGCTGGGCTATGCGCGTGCAATATGAACGAAAACTGTAGGTATTTGACCACCACTGCTTGAGGACCCTCCTACAAGTGGAGTACAAAAGCTGCGTCTTAAATGAAACAATCTGCACTCGCTGCGACATCGCAAGGATATGCCAGGTGATCCAAGAAAGACAACTGATACAGCTTGCGCATGCTTTTCGCCGTTCACCTTACAAACAACCTCTCTCTCCCACCCCGGTAGTCCATCCATCCCGGCAGCCTGCAATGTTTTTTATCCTTTGGAGAATCCGCAGAGCAACCAGCCGGCATAGGGAACGACGATGTTCGTTCGAGAACCGGTGTGCCTCAAAGTGGGTATCTTTATTCCCAAGTGAGACCCAATTCACCCGACAGAGCCAATGGAACGATCATCCTGTCTTGGGGGAGCTAATTTCGCCACTCTCGTCAGCGTCTACGCTTCCTCAACGACCAGCTCCGATGGGGTGCGGTACAAATTCCAGGAAGATCTGCACTCTCCTGGCGACAAGTTAGTTGCCCTTGGCGACTTCAGCCCTTGCGTTAAAAAAAACCACGCTGCTTGCATGGGACTGTTAAGTCTCAATAGGGGTATCAGCAACAGCGTCCTCCTACGGAGCCATACAGAGCAAGGCAACCTGGATGCACACCCAAACGCGGAAGTTGTTGGACTACATCCTCGTCCGGAAGCGAGATTGACAAAACGTACTGATAACCAAAGCTAGCTGCGACACCGATGACTGGAAGAATAACCACCTCATCATCTTCAAGGATTCTCACGTAATAAT